GAGAGAGAGAGAGAGAGAGAGAGAGAGAGAGAGAGAGAGTGAGAAAACGAGATAGATAGAGAGATAGGTACGTCTTTTCTTGAAATGAGTTCTTGTACCCTCATAATGCTTCGGGTTCTGTTTTATCCCGCTACTCGGTATATAGCCAGTATTGACCAACACGGGCCGGATGAAAGCTCTGTTATGTCTGATACCGAGAAAGCTGCCTGGCCAATATTGACGGAAACATATAAATATAAGACAAAAATCGCGCCTCTTAGATATTATTTCATACTTGTTTTTTCTTTTTTTTTTTTTTCTTTTTATTTTTTCATCATTTTGTTCTTTCCCCCATCAAAAATACGATAGTATTTTATTTAGCACGATATGATCGACAATTCAGATCAATTTATTTAATTTAACGTGTTATTGAGATTGAAACGCATTATCAACGTATAATGTGTAAAACAAAAAATTATTCCCGTATTAATTATTATATATTTGACTTAAAGCAAGTTTTCAATTTTATTTTTAAATACGTAGACTATTTTTACTAATGTTATCCTTAAGAAAATAAGAAGAAAAGAAGAATAAAAATAAAAAGAAAATGAAGAAAACTCGGAATAAAAGTAATCTCGTTGCTTAATTTGTCCATAATCCACAGGTGCACGAGGATCGTTGATATCACGAAGAGTAGGATAAGGAGAGTAGAAGGGAAGGGTGGGGAAGAGAAAGAGAAATAGGGAAGAAGCGATTATTATCCAACGGATTTTTAGTAGCATCATCGTAGTCGTGAAAAAGAAGAACAGGATTGCAGGTTGGACTGCAACCGGTAGTAAAGGTGTCGTTCGTTATTTCAAAGAAGAAAAGGAAGAAGAAGAAAAAGGAAAAAAGATATAAGAAAGGGGAGGGAAAGGGAAGAATAAAGCTGGTAGGGTGGTAGTAAAGAAGGTAAGATAAAGAGGAAAGGAGAGGACGGATCCGGTGCAACACTGTCCTCAGAAGTTGGATGCTACAATAGCAGTGTATCTTCTGGCGCCTAACCGTCTCACGGACACGCCTTCCAACCTAAGAAACTGCGAGTACAACCTATCCACTTTCTGCTCTTTTATCCGTGTACCCACAATATTGTAATATCGTGATATCAAGTCCACCCCTTTGGAACGTCACTCTTTTCAACGCGCTGCGTTCTTGTATAAAACACGATTACGAGTATGAGAAACATAAACCGATTTCTTCCTTTTGTTTGGTGGATGGGGAGGGAAAGGAGGGAAAATATAAAAGTTTCAATTATTTTCAAATTGTAAATCGTTGAAGAGTATAAACTATAATTAACGAGTAAACAAAGTTAATATAAATCGGCTATTTTTCTTTTTCTTTTTCATTGCATTTATTTTCTTTAGATAGAAATGGTATTTACGATTCGTTAGAAAATGTTATACGATCCGTTATTACTCGAAACGATCGACAAAATAATACTCGTAGTAGCAGTAATACTTGGTTACCACTTGATATACCAAACGTCAATGAAGATCCGTTGAAGTTGACGTCGATAACTATGGTCACGGGAACCCTTCGATGATAGCTAATCACAGTCATTAAGTGCATCGCAGAATTTGTTAGGTAAATTATCGAAGAGCAACGTAACTCTTCCCAACCCCCTTTTAAGCCCCCTTTTAACCCCCTTTTAACCCCCTTAACTAACCCCTACCTTCTCCTCCTCCTCTTCCTACGTAGAATTTACATTCCTGTCACGCGTCCGGTAAACGCATGCGCTCGCACGGACGGTTTCACGTGTATATCGATAACGCGAAAAAAATGTTACAGAAAGAAGAGATTCGAATCTCGGCTCGTTACGCGGTCGCATCAATCATATTTAAAACGATTCTTTATCGGAAGTATGTGTTGTGCTCCATCAACGAATACGACTTTTCGTTCGTTGTCTTTTCAGCCAATATTCCGCGAGTGGAGATCATATTTCACAATGCGCCTTATTAATCACAATCTGACAGTAGCGTTAAATTATTTCCGATAGCGGAATACGATCGATAAACCACGTCGGCCATTCTCTTCTACTATTTTCTACTAAACCACTAGTTTCCGAACTTCAATGAGATTTAATGCTATGCGGTCATATATGTCCAATCGAAATCTACGTCTTTTTTGATGTTGATACCAACTGGTTAAGTTTGAAACGCGTAAACGCACATAATTTATATTTGTTTTCTTTTTTTTTTTCTTTTTTACGACCAATGCATTTGTAAAATTATACTTCTCTAAGTTCTACCGATTGCAATTCTTATTTCGATTTTGGTGATTTTGCAGTATAGATACTTAGTTCTAAGAAAAAAAATGTTACTATTTTATAAAGATACGATATTTTTATTCTATAAGTAACTTTTACAGGAAAGGAAATGTTTTTTTTTTATCCTAATAAATTGCTATATCACACAACATGAAATATTTATTCATACACAGAGTCCTCTTCTTAAAATTGATTGTTTAAATAATCCATGCTGATGGTTTTTAATTTTTTTTTAGCGAATACAGTAAAAGTCTTGCGAAACTAATGAAGTTATTTCTGCTTGATCACTGTGAAGTCGAAGCACGTAAATTTTAAAAGTTCACTCAGTATGCGCTCCACAGGTGTTTCCAATTTGTCGTAAAGCGACTAGGAGGATCAAAAGAATCATTATACGAATGAAACAATGATTGATGGTCTAGCGTCGATGACTAGAGAAATTAGTTTTAAATGGTTTTCCTATTTTAATGAATAAAAGTATTCCTATTAACTTTGAATGATGATTTGAAATATTTTTTTGCGGAATACGCAACGTTCATTGAAAAACCGATCATCGATTATTTCGATAACGTGTTCAGAAATATTCAACATTCATTAAAATGTAATTATTCACTGTTGCATGAAAGAAACAAGACAAGAAAACTGATAACTTTTCAGCATTCCTCTACGTAATAAGCATTTGTTCTGTGTAAATATGAACAAAATCTTGACGAAACCTTTGAAAAATCATTACATAAATTTCCATCCTAAAATCTTTAGTTCTCCACACGAAAAATCTAACTCATCTTCACTTGAACTGATTCTTTCATCGTATTCCATTGTCACGATTATCTAAGAGACATATATAACAATGCATGTAAATGACATTTTGAAAATTGTTGAAAGGATTCACGAAGCTTTCTTGCCCAGATAAATCATAAATAAACATCATGTAATCTCTTTAATGCAAAGGTTTTATTAATTCGTCGTAATGTCATTCAACGTGGAATCAAAAGTTTAAATATCGTATCCCTGAGAAAATAGTAAAAACATTTAGTACGGGTTAGGAGGGTAGTAAAGGGGTAAGTTCCACAGGTGTAAGAGTAAGCATTCGCAGACGGACAAGAGCTGAGAACAGAATAGTCCTACGATAATTAATCATCATCTATTGATAAGAGATAAGTGCGAGAGATTAAAGTAGAGACGAGAGAAGAGAGCGAGTGAGGTGGTACGAAGCACAAAGAGGAATGTAGAGAAAGGATGGGGGAGGGGAGGGAAAAAGGAAAAGGGGTGAATGGTGATGATGGTAGTCGGAAAAGGATTGAAGAGGGAGGGTGGAGGTTGGGATGGGGGAAAGGGACAGAAAGAAGAATAAAGAAGAAGAAGATAGAACTCAAGAATCGGCAAGGACTCTCTCTCTCTCTCTCTCTCTCTCTTTCACTTTGTCGCGGCTGCGCGTATCAAGAGTTCTAAAGTGTCAGCGGAGGGTTGAAGAGGGGTTGATATGGTGATGGTGGGGGTGGACGGAAAGGCGCGAACGGAGGAGAGACGAACGAACACGGCGGGTATTCGTTGCTCTCGGCAGAGCACGATAGTTCAGTCGGGATGAAGGTCGCGCACCCTCTTCTTCTACGGTGCCGATGAACAGTGAAGAACGTAAGGGTAGGGACAAAGGTTCGCGATGAATGGTGAACGTATTAACGTGAAACGTCTTACGGGAATTAAACATTATCCCGATCGTTTTCGTATACTTACTATGGCATTCCTGACAGTGGTGGCTATTGCTGGACAAGCACGTACAGATAATTCATCATTAAATTCCGGTGAGTTAGTGAGTAGTCATTATAGTAATTAATAAGATTATGTTGTTTTTCTTCGTCTTCGTCTTCTTCTTCTTCTTCTTCTTCTTCTTTATTTATTTTTTCATATTATATTCGATTGATATCTCGATTCTACGATTATTCGATATACGTATACATGTGTATGTGTGTGTGCGTGTGCGTGTGTATTTTGTTTTGTTTTTAATTTCAATATATTATTTTGTTCCTTTTTTTTTTTCTTTTTTGAAATTATTTGCGACGTTTTATGCGAACGCTACCGGTCGAAATATTTTCTCCTTTTTTCTTTCTCCGTTTTGTTTCTTTTCCTTTCTCTTTTTCTTTTTCTTTTTCATTTTCTTTTTCTTTTTCTTTTTCTTTTTTGTCCTTTTCTCTTTTCATGCAACAGTGAAAAAGCTTCCCCGTCGGTCCACTCGTTACTTTTTCTTTTCTCATTTTCTGACTGTAACTCTTACACGCGCGTAACTCGCCAAGTACCGCACGCTGTGCTCGATAACTTCGCCGACTGGAAATGTCGTGCTTTATTTTCGTGGTAGTCCGTTACTCACTCATGTATATATACTTGACGACTCATTACATGCATATTTTAGAGTACCATTACGTCGTATTGTTATAGTACGTGTTGTTGATTGTGTTTGTATATCGTGTGATTATATCGAATATCGTAAATAGATCATTCATTCGTCGCAAAGTGCATAAATCCTAGTTGTCACGTGTATTATAATGTGTTAGATTTATTTTACAAAAAAATATTAACGACAATATTAATATTATTTATATTTACGAGCAATTTTTTGTATTAAATCATAGTCAATAAGTAAATATAATAAACGAATAACAATATAACATTATTTATCATATTTGCACATTATACCAAAAAAGAATGATATTAAAACAATGAGAATATTATCCGTAAAATTGGAATAAACAAAAATCCGATGAGTTCTTTTTCTTCGATTAAACGACAAAATCCTTTCCTATAAAAGCTATATAAAGTTAAGAAGTTCGCATCAAGGATTCATGATACGAGACGATCCCGATCAAAAGGCTAAAGCAATGCAACGCAATGCAGCAATGCATTGTCAGTAAAACGTTGAGATCTTCTTACTAAGATTACGGGAATGGTCGCTTTGCATTCGATTATCGTAGCACACGCGAGTCAAGTATATGTAGCTTTTACTGGTATTACGGTGATCGTGTTCTTTATCGTGCCACCGCAGGTGTAATACGAAAACGGCTTATGGCACGACTGAAAGAGGAGAGAGAGAGAGAGAGAGAGAGAAAGAAAGAAAGAAAGAGAAAGGGACAAAGGGAGAGTGGGAGGAGGAATCTAGGAGAAGATAGGGAAAGATATAAACAGAAAGGGACTGTAAAAGACTACTTCTAGTGGTGATTACTCGAATACGCGCCAACGCCAACGCCTGTAACACCAAACTCATGCCACTGTTTTCTATGTATATATAAGCGAATGGAAATCAGTGAATCCCGTAGCTGAAACGTAATCTAACTCTGAAACAGATTGTCCTCGGCTAGTGATTCGGGGTGGGAGGGAAGGGTGGTGAAGGGGGATCAGGGAAAATAATATCTTTCGGTATAGCGAGAATTGAAGTAAATGTTCGTTGGCTCTTTGATAGATTTATCAAGCGAGAAATGGTAATACATAGGATAAATAAAATTTGTCTATTTTAAATTACAATTGAAATTAACGACAAAAGTTTAATTTGATTTGTTAGAAATTATTCAACAGTGAGATAATACCGATAGACGATGAATTGTGGTCAATGTTTTAGATCGTGTTGTGTGCCTTCTCACATACTCCTAGAACAATCCGAATAGAACAAGAGAACACAAATCGTATTACGTATATATCGTTATCCAGTGTGGTCATTAAATAATAAACTCATGCGGGTTTGCAATCTAATCGACTAATTAGAGACTATTGATTTGGATAGATGGAAACGATTAAACGCGAAATTGCAAACATTCGCGAATTGAAACATGGAACTCGTCTATCTCTTATATAAGAGAATATATTTGAATTTTTTCGTATCGTAGACACTTAACATTGCTCGTCGTTATAAAAATTACGCGGTAATTGAAAATGTTGAATGGAAAAAAAATAATAAAGAGGTAACGTATTATAACTTTCGAGGCTTTGAGGTTGAGAAAAATTGATGGAGTAATTTCTTTAATGCGGCGTAATCTTCCATCTATGGTTAACAAGTTCTTTCGTTAAACGGTCGATCCCTGAGGTGAAGTTGATTTCCACTCTCGAGAAGAACCCCTCCGATAGCTTTTCATAAATATATTATTCCTCTGTATGAAAGTCAAGTAAGTAAAAGTTAAATTAACTCTAAATCCAGACGCGCCGCTCTTGCGAATTTAATTTAGGATCACACGCCTTCTATCTCTCGAGATGATAAATAATGCGAATAGGAAGGAGAAGGAGGAGGAGGAGGAGGAAGAGGAAGAGGAGGCTGTTTGGTAAAATGGTGGTGGTGGTGGTGGTAGTAGTAATGATGGTGTGTCCTCGTATACCGAATCTAACAGCTTTGCTTGAATATTATTTTCAACGAACGAGTGAAATCGAAAGTTTAATTATCACGAAAAGTAGGAAATTTAATTATCGCGTAAACGTGTAGTATACCCTTTATTTGGCAGTTCACGCTCAAAATCGAAATATACAATGAATATTCGTTATAATATTCTGCGAGTAATTATATAGAATATTATCGATACACGATTATAATGTCCTTTCGTAATAATGCGCAAGATGGAATATTATCTGCGTGTATAGTCGCGATAGAAATAGATCAAGCTTTTTCAAAATAACATGACATTTTAATTAATAGATCTAAATTGTCAAAATGACGAATAGGAGATAGCAATCGTTTCGTCGAATCCAGTAATCTCTTTAAGTCGTGGAAAGGAGTAGGGTTTCCTTGAGTTCAGTTTACTGCCAACCTCTGCATACATCACGCACATGTTTTTGTTGCACGTGGTCGAAGAAAATGCAACCTGATTTACAACCGACATTTACTTCGGAGAACATTCCCTTCTCTGTCGGAAGATAAATCGACAGGACTTGCTGCTGCACGCTCTTCTTCCTTCTCCTACCACTCTCTCTTTTTCTCTCTTTCTCTCTCTCTCTCTCTCTCTCTCTCTTTCCTTTCCTTTCCTTTTACTCTATCTTTTTTTCTTTTCTTCACAACCTTACACTCGAAGTTACTTAAATTTAATAACTCTACGGGAAAACGCACCTGACAATTTTTATCTTTCCATAACGCCTCACGGTTATTGTTAGTTGAATGGGAAACGTTTCTATGGTGGAAACTCGTGTTTATACTTTCTCTATCTGTCTGTAGATGTAAAAAATTGAATTATTTTTTAGAAGAGAATACGTATAATATATAATTATGTTAACGTTAATTCGTGAACAATTTCATTTTATAATAAGAGAAAGAAAGTTTCTCTTGTAATAAGATTAAAATGACGAAAATCGAATATAAATACCGGTCGAGGAGTAGGATATTATGTATAAACAAAACATTGAACGATTTTTCGATTAGTTTAACCTTTTCCCTTCTCAGTCGTTATTCTTCTCTGCTGCCGACAAGATGTGTTTCTGTATTAAGTATTATACATTTTTTATCTCATTTATCTTCTTCTTTACATTATATACAATATTTTATATCCATTTGTTTTATAACCGATGCTCTAATTAATAATATTCTTATTAATTAATCTCGTTAGATATATTTCGCTTTATATAAAATTATAATATATACACGTATACGTATATCACATCGACATCGACACACATACTCGCCAGCACATATGCATATCACTTGCATAACAACAAAACGTGAACGCTTATATATCCGAAAATAAATTTGATACATTTTTAATATCGTGTTTACATATATCGGTGATCAAAAAAGTTTATAAATAACTGAGTGTCCTTTTATAGATCGTTTCTTCGGATTATCAACAAGAAAAAAGATTATGTCGTTTATTTATTTTTAACAAGAACGTTAGTCGGTCTATATATTTCGTACTATTAAAATGTGTTTCTCGCTGAAAAGTAAATTTGTTGAAATGATCTCGTTGGTGAATGGAATTTTAATATTTCAGGTATGTATATGTATGATGTATATGTATGCACGTTAAAAATATCAAATTTGATCAATTAAATATAAAAGCGTATGTAAAATAAAATGGAAATATAAAAAAGAAACAAGTAATAGGTTTCAAGAAAAAATTTATTCGCCGTCGTCGTTATTAAATATTTATTATTTTAATCGTTAATCGAATAATATGATTTATGATCAATCGTATATTTATGAACACTTCACTGTCAATTAACGAACGCAGAAATTTAAATTAAGCCGCCCGCCTCTATTTTAGAATATTCGAATAAACGAATATCGTAGGTAATAAAAGCTTTTTTATTCTTTTTTTTTTTTTTTTTTTTATTATTACCGTATCGAGATATAATGTTGAGTCAGACTGACAGGTGCATTAATTTTCCATGTATTCTTTGGTGGTGGGGGAAGGAGAGGGAGGGGTATGTATCGCACGATCATGCCCTTACAAATGACTTCTTTATGTCATACGGGAATATCTAACTATTATAAAATATTAATAATTTCATTAACTATCAATTGACTAATATAATGAAAGGATTATACTCTGCTTTCGAAAACATTCCATGAAATAATTTATACGTATATAGGAGGTATTACAGCTATGTGCAACAGATTTATGTATCTCTAATTAAATTTCAATCTAATACAAAAGCATTTAATGCTAGGTAGTTATTCATGTGAATCAAAATCGTCTTGTATTCGTGTAATAATAGCGAAACCCGATTAAAAAGGTAATTAACCCTTTGAATATCGTATAATATTGTTTCGGTGTTGTCCACACAAAGCTACTGATAAAAAGATTTAATAGTTAGTGAAAGGTAATGTAATCATTTGCTA